ATTTCTGATTTTTTCCCTTAAAAATGCTGTATGCATTAACTATCATATTTGCATTACAACATGACAAATGAGCAAATGAAATGTGTGTGAAAATTGTCACCTTTTCACAATATCAAGCATAATTTTTTTTTTTAACCTTAGTATAAGGTACTATAAATCCAAGAAATAAAAACATCCACAAAATATATTACATCTGGTATGATTTTTTTTTTTCTCTAAGTACTCAACTTTATACAAAAGTCTTTCAAAAAATATCATTCCCTTAGGTTTGTGTGGTTAAACCTGATTGTGGTTTGTTTGTGTTTTTTTTTTTTTGTTTTTTTTTTGTTCCTTTCAGTTCACATAAATTAGACTGCATTCTTCCTCTTCTCTTTATTTTTTGTACGTTTTTAATGTGTTTTTTTGTAGTTTTTTTTTTTCACATGCAGACATCAAACCTGGATAGCACGACCTTTTGGCAACAAAGATTTTTTTTTCTTTTTAAGTCATTATTATTATTTTTGCTTAGTTTAGCTTAAATGTCTGAGCACAGTTTTATTAAAACAAAAGAAGAAAAAAATCAGAGCAGTCATGCAATGACATGCACATACCAGAAGGAGAAAGAAAAAAAAAGAAAAAAAAAATAAAATAGAGGACTAATTGATTTTTCTCCTCCATAGTTGGGTGGTTGTTTTAAAGTGACCAAATAAAATAAAATAAAAATATCTCACATTATAAAAAGTATTCAGCAAAATACTGGGGTGCTTTTTTTCTGCATTTCTGTAAAGAATTTCCCTTCTGCTGAAAAAAAAAATTAAAAAAAAAATAAAAATAACATAAAAAGGAAAAGAAGAAAAAAAAAATAAAAAAAAAATAAGAAAACAAACCCAAAAGCTGCTGCTGGGACAACACCCCCGAAGTTGGGGGGACCCGCAGAGCCGCCCCCCGCCCGCCAGCCCGGCTTGGGGGGGCCGAGCCCTCTTACCTCCACCACGGGGAGCCGGTGCTTGGGGGGCACGGGGGGGACACGGGCATGGGGGGGGCAACGGGGGCTCCAGGCCCGCTGAGGGATCGGCTCCTTCCATCCATCCGTCCGTCCATCCGTCCGTCCGTCCGCCCGTCCATCCCCACACGGATCCTGGAGTCCCCAGCCCTGGAGGAGCCGGGCGGGTTGGGACCAGGGAGGAGGTGGTGGTGGTGGGGGGAGGCCGATCCTGGAGCACTCAGCCCCCGGGGGGAGCGGGCGGCTCGGGACCGAGCCCTGGGATGTGGGTTAGCCGGGATTCCCGGGATCTGCCGCCCGGGCAGCCCGGAGCTGGGCCGGGAGGGTGCGGGCGGGATGTCCCCGGGAGGAGCAGGGTGCAGGTGGTGGGGTGTGGGAGAGCTGGAGCCGGGAGAGCCGGGACTGGGCAATCCAGCCGGGATCCGGGAGGTTCAGGTAATCCAGGTGCGGGAGCAGGGATCCGGGAAGAGGGTGCGGGCAGCCCGGCCCCGGGCAGTGCGGGTGTGAGCAGCCAGGATCCGGGAGCTGTGGGAGCAGGAGGCCGGGATCCAGGCAGTGCGGGCGGCCCGGCCCCGGGCGGTGCGGGTGGAAGCAGCTGGGATCTGGGAGGTGCGGGAGCAGGCAGCCGGGATCCAGGTGGTGCGGGCAGCCCCGGCGCGGGCAGCGCAAGTCCGGGCAATCCGGGTGCGGGCAGTGCGGGTCCCGTCGATCCAAGTGCAGGCAGGATCCGGGTGCGGGCAGCCTGGACCCGCTCAATCCGGGCGCGGACCCGTCGCAGCACAACCCCGGGGTATCCTGAACACCGCGGGGGTTCCCCCCGGAGCGGCGCCGAGAGGGCAAGGGGAGGAGAAGGGGGTGCCACCGCGCCGCCCCCCACAGTCCCTCAAGCGCACGTGGTGACGGCGGGGGCGAGGGCGACGGGGGGCGAGGTGGTGGCGGCGGCGGCGGCTGGGGGCGCGGCGGGGGGCTGCCCGCCCGAGCCCTTCTCGGCCTTCTTCTCCTTCTGCTTGAGGTGGATCTTGGCGTGCCGCTTGCGCTCGTCGGAGCGGGCGAACTTGCGGCCGCAGAACTCGCAGGCGAAGGGCTTCTCGCCGGTGTGGGTGCGGATGTGGGTGGTGAGGTGGTCGCTGCGGCTGAAGCTCCGCATGCAGATGCGGCACTGGAAGGGCTTGTGGCCCGTGTGGATGCGGAGGTGGCGGGTGAGCTCGTCGGAGCGGGAGAAGCGGCGGTCGCAGCCCTCGGCGGGGCAGGCGTGGGGCCGCTCGTGGAGCGGCGTCTTGCTGGGCCGGTTGGGGTACTTGCGGGGTCGGATGGGCTTGAGGGTGAGGGGCGGCTGCGGCAGCCCCCCGAAACCCGGGTGGATCTGCTTGTCCTTGAAGGCCTTGATGGTCTCCAGCGGGGTGATGGGGGGCGGGTTGACGCGGATGGGGTCCAAGCTCTGGAAGGGTTTGTGCTCCGTGATGGTGCCCATGTCGTTGGGGTGGTGGTAGAGGTTATAGTCTGGGATCATGGGGAAGAGGTTGCTGTCCAAGGCGGGCTTGGCCGCCTGGTAATCCTGGGGGGAGTAGGTGAGGCCGGGGTTGCTCTGGGGGTCGTGGAAGGAGACGGGCTCTGGGTAGAGGTCACTGCAGGAGGAGTAGGGCGGCAGCGCGGGGTACATCTGGTCCACCTCGCCCTGCGGCGGCCCCATGCTGCCCGCCGAGCTCTGCGTGCTGGTGAGCGCGCCCGAGGACGGCGGCACCCCCAGGATGCCGGCGCTCATCAGGCTGATGATGTTGTCCTGGCACCAGTTGGAGGGCGAGTCGAAAGCGAATTTCCCCAGGTAGGTGACAGTCTTGTTGCCCGGGGCGGGTTGAAAAGTGCCCGAGTAGGAGGACAATTCCTGACCGGCCTTTTCGTTCCCTAAGCCAATGTCCATAACATTATCTGCAAAGTGCGAGAGAAGCGGGGCAGGGTGAGCCGGGTGGGCCCGGGAGGGGGAGCACCGGGGACGCACCGAGGGATGCTCTGGGGAGCCGGGAATGCGCCAGTTCCCCCTGGCCCCGCTCCCCTCTCTGCTTCCACCCCGCGTATGCGGCGCTGCCTGCCGGGGGTCCCGACGATGCGGGGCCGCCCCCGCCGCCCCCGCGGGGAGCTGCCCTGGGTGGGTGGATGGGGGGGGACACCCCACCGCCGCCCCGCCGGAGGAAGGAGGTACCTGCGGCTACAGGTAGGCTTCCTCCCCGTCCAGCCCCGGCAGCGCTGGGCACTCCGCGGAGCCGGGGCTGCGGCCGCCGACGCCGCCGTTACCGACTCGCCGCCTTCCCTGCGCCGAGCCCCGGCGAGGAGAAACACGGGGATGATGGAGGCAGGGGGGGTTTAGCCTGGCGGGGCTCCGCGTGGGAGCGGGGACACGCGGGGAGCACCCGCCCCCGCCGCCCTCGGCGCTCACCTGTGCCCCCCAGGTCCTCCCTTCTCCTGTCCCCCCCCCCCCC